TTTATTTTAAAATCAAAGTGTGTTAGTAATGTGTCCCAAGTGTTTGTGAAAAAGAGTCCTGGTCTCCCTAACTCCCTTGTCTTGAGACAGTCTGGCATGGGGGAAAACAAATGAGCATGTTAATGCACTGAGACACTAACTCAAAAACCATTCTTTTACTACATGGACTTCCCATGGGCATTTGGCTCCATCATCCCAGCACGTGTGTCCTTCATGATCCAGCCTCATCCACCAATCCAGTTTTTCCTCCTTAATCCCTCACCCCGGCTAGTTCTCCTTCCTATTTCTAAGCATGGAATTCCCAGATGCTTCATTTTCCAATAGCCACCTGGGGACCACCCTTACAGTCTAGACAAGGCTCATCCCAAACTCTTGAGGCACAGGGTGATTTGTCAGTTCTCTCAGGGCCCTTAGCACTTAATTCTCATTTTTGTTTATTTTTTAGAAGATTTTCATAAATAAGGAATCTTTCCTTTTTTTATAGTTTTTATTTTGAGACAGAGAGCATGAGTGGGGGAGGGGCAGAGAGAGAGGGAGACACAGAATCTGAAACAGGCTCCAGGCTCTGAGCTGCCAGCACAGAATCCGATATGGGGCTAGAACCCATGAACTGCAAGATCATGCCCTAAGCGAAAGTCGGACGCTTAACCGACTAAGCCACCCAGGCGCCCCAGGAGCATCTTATCTTTAATTGGCTAGTGATGCCCTGGGCCTGGGAACAGTTTGGGCTGAACAGGAATTACTCAGAAAACCAAATGCTCCCCAGGCAGGTCCCAGTCTAGACCACAGGCTAGCCAGAAGTGAATTCAGGCACCTGAAGAAGTTTAGTACACCTGGTGAAAGAAAGGGATTGACATGTGGCCAGATAAGGAGTAATGATAAACCATTTTAAGCATATAGGACTTTATCCTCCAAGTAGGAAACTCAGTCTCTAGGGCTGCTTTTGTGGGTTGACAAATGTTTAAAAGCTGACTCTTTTTTCTAGGTCACATTCAAGGGCTCCTCAAAGATCTGTTAGCCTCAGGAATCGCCTTAACTGATAATGTTCCTTCTGCAAACCCCAGTTTTCAGTGTTCTGCAAGGAGCCCCTCATAGCTGGGACTCCCTTTGTAGTTCTGGACAGTCTGTTTAAGACAGCTCATGGCTGGCTTTCTCTATAGTTGGCCTGCAAGAAATACACAGATGTCTTTGCCTGCACATATTCTAGTATAAGCATTTTCTCACCCGCTCTCTCTCCTTGCCCACCATGGACACATTCTGCAAGCCAAAGCTCTTCAGTTCTCCAGTCTCAGTCACAGACTGAGTCACAGACCAATTCCTCAAGTTCATTCAGACTGCAGTGGTTCAAATGTCAAGTGCCGAGGCCAGTGGTCCCCTCAAAGCTCTTTTCTTTCACAGGGTCTGTGGTGAGGAATAAGATTTCTCTGGCAAAAGTCAACATAGAATCGTATTTCAGAGTAGGTTTCCACTAAATGAGAATGGAAAATAGTTAGGAGCAGAGGAAAGGTGTTGACCCACCAGGAGGCTGTCATCCTATTATCTCTATTTTACAGATTCACAGGTGAGGCTCCAGAGGTGAAGTACCTGGCATAAGGCCATTGAGTCAGCAAGTGGAAAAGCCAGGATCAAACCTGGATCCCTCTGACTCTCCAACCTCCACTCATTATTGTCAGTGTGTTCCATGTATTAATTATCATTTACATAACACATAGAAAAGTAAGCCTCAGAAGACAGATCTGGTATAAGAGAAGCAAAACTCCTGACAGCTTGCTCTAGTATAGAGCAGGCTTCCACTCAAGTGGAAAGAAACAATTCTCAGTGTAGTGCCTGTAGGTGAAGTAATTACAGTTGCTGGGTTTCCCCGTGGGACTGATGCTTGTCCAGGTGTATATATTACTGTGTTTTGTTAACAGATTGTCTACAGGCAGTCTTGCTTACTTTCAGTTTTCCTTATATCCCCATTACATTCAAATGTATTTGTCCTGTGCCTACTTCTGACTCAAAAAAGAAAACTCTTCCCCTTCTTTTAGCCTCTTAAAGAAAAGGAGAAATGAGAATGACTTGAGAACGTAGGTCAGGATAGAGAAAAGAGAAATGGGGGATTAATCTGGGGACATTCCAACCAAATGGAATTTTTCATGTAGTCTTTAGGCAACTTGTAGAGATGTAGACATTAAGGCTCCCTAAGGCAGCACTGCCAACAGAATTATATTGCTAGCCAAGTATGTACTTTTACATTTTTTAGGAGCCACATTATAAAGGTAAAAGAAATAGGTGAAATTAATTTTAAGAATACATTTGCTTTGGGGCACCTGTGTGGCTTAGTCGGTTAAGCATCCAGCTTCAGCTCAGCTCATGATCTTGCAGTTGGTGAGTTCGAGCCCCTCATCGAGTCTGCTCTGGATTCTGTCTCCCTCTCTCTCTGCCCTTCCCCAACTCACACTCTGTCTGTCTCTCTCAAAAAATAAATAAACATTAAAACTTTTAAAAAAAATACATTTGCTTTAACCCACTGTGGCCAAAATATTGATCATGTTTTTAACGTGTTAATGAGATATTTTACATTCTTTCTTTATCCTAAATCTTAGAAATTCAGTGTGCATTTTACACTTAAAGCACATCTCATTTCATCTATTAATTAGTTTTAGTAATCTCTACGTCCATTGTGGGGCTCAAACTCACAATCCCAAGATCAACAGTCATACACTCCTCAGCCAGGTACTCCAAGCACTTCTCATTTCAGACCAGCCGATTTCATGTTCAGTAGTCACATGTGACCAGTGACTACCTTATTGGTCAGCCCAGCTCTAAGGGACATTTCAGTGCTAGTGAACCTGTAACCTAGGAGATCTTAATAAGATCACTGAGGAGGCAGGTGAGTTTCCAAATTACAAAAACAAAAAGTCATAAAAGTCATAAAACAGGAGGAAGGTGAAGATGTAAAGAAGAAAAGTAAGGACAACTTGAGAAAACCATGGACAACCCCCAAAACACCTCATCACTAGAGAAATGGAAGTGTCAGGAGGGACAAGGACATAGAAAAAAGAAATGTGGGGGCTGAAAATCAAAGGATGAGATAAGAGAGTTTTGAATTACAAAGCTAAATCCATGGCTTCATTCACCTGCCAATAGTTGCCACTGCATGTACCAAAAAAAAAAAAAAAAAAAAAAGCCTGCTGATTGATATAGGGACAGTAGGGTGACACACAAATTTAGGTCGCTGATGATCATGGTCACATACTCAGCTTTTCAGCACCAGAATCTTATTTTATTAGCTTACTCCGAGCTGTTTAAAGCTCGACAAGGCTCAAACAAATGCTAAACAAACCCAAGAAAGGATCAGTAGAAGAGCAGAATGTTAATTTGTGGATACACAGCAATTGGTCTTTTCGGGACTAAAATAGGTATATTCCCTTATTCAGATCACCCCCCTGCAAGGTTGTGGAGATTTTTTTTATTTTATTCATTTCCTTTTAGTAATCTCTACACCCAAAATGGGGCTCAAACTCACAACTCTGAGATCAAAGATCACATGCTCCATCAACTGAGCCAGCCAGGCACCCTACCCCCCTTGCTAGTTGTAAAATTTGCTGTAAAACCAAAATAGTAAGTAGAGATTTGTTCAGTGAGCATGAAATTAAAGCAAAGAATTGGATAATGTCCAAGGATTGTTTACTCAGACTGACCCATAGTGGAAGTCATCTTCCTTGTGACAGAAGTAGTACAGATGCCATGGGCTCTATTGGGCCCTTTGGTGGATATACAGATAGATTGTTACTGCCTAGTGCATTTTACTGTTTATTATACCAGAGGTTCCTGCTGGCCCACAAACATGTCTTTTAGGTTTGTTTGTTTTGTTTCAGGCTTATACAGCCACTTCTGGACTCTAGAAAACTCTGCCCACAGTGGGTCCACATTCTCAAATGATCTCGATCTGCTGGACTTGAAACCAGCCTGCCCCTTTGAGTGTAGCCTGTTGTCACAGCAGCATCAGACCAGCTCACCTCAGAGAACTGTTCACCTGACTACCTCCTATGGCTCATGAGAGTGAGATTCCTATTATGTAGAGACCTGCTGGCCAGGCCTGTCTTCAGGTTTTCCTGTGGAGAGAGTGAGCAAGCAAGAGCACACAGGAGATTGACTCATGTTCAGTTACATGATTATTAGGTTACTGCTTCCTTATTGTTAACTAGTCTAAGAATCCAGTCTTCATCATTTACTAGTTAGAAATTAAAACTAATCTTTAGGATGGGGTACTTCTGAGGAAAATTGAACTTATATTTATTAATTATGAAATATTTCCATTTTGAGAGGAGTATTTATTTCCTAGGTCTAGGGACACCCTCTTACACTTCCTTATATACCTACTATAGTTACACAGAGCAAGAAAGCCTAAAACATATACTGGACAGGGAGAAACTGGACATTACATAAAACATATTGACAGATTGAAAAGATAACTAAATGTAACAGGATCAAATTTTACATAAGAATAAACTCTTTTCCCTCCAGCTACCAGATGTATCAAAGACAGGTTGGGATCCACTGTTTGCTAAATCTAAAGTTTAAATTCTAAGCAATAAAAAACAAATGCTGCCAATCTTTTGGTCTCAGTAGCATTTGATGCATAGTATGCAAATCAATTATCTGATTCCTTTATATAATAGCCTTTTTTATTAGTATTTTTAAATGATTCCGATTCCCCAACATCCTCACCACTGTGCCTCTCCGCTGAGCTGTTAACAAATGGTAAAATTTACACATTTGACTTTCATCTTCCTTCATTTCTTCTGCTCCCACTCTGGCAAGTTGCTGTCAGGAAGCTGAAATGGTCAGCAGGAGAATGGAAGAAAAGAGAAGCAGAATGCCCGCTGTGTCTTCAAACAGGAAAACCAGAGCTTGTCTCATCTTGAACTGACCACAAATAATTTGATAAAGGCGGTGGCTCAGGCCTCTCCTTTCACCTGCCCCCGCCCTGAGTAATGAAACTCTGTCCTCACCCATCTCCCTCTCTGCTTTCAGCCTGACCCAGCCAGTCTACTCTTACCTCTGTCCTAATGCAGGCTGCTCCCAGGGTCTCCAGCCTCCCTTTATGGCTGCTCAAAGCAGACTCCTCTGCCTCAAGATGCCTTGAACTTGAACTTACTGTCTCCGTTGCTCATCGCTGGCGCCCCCAGCTGGCCACTATTTTCTGCTGGCAGGACAGGACCAGGTGGCTGAGGTTCCAGGGGTCAGGAGAGAAGGGTGAACCCCTCTTGAGCACAGCTGGGGCGTGTGGAGCTGCAAAGTGAATATAAAACTTATGTCACAGGAAGAATGTGGCAAATGAAGATGGAGAAGTGTGTCGAATAAGCGAGGGAGCCTGTAGGAGTTGGGTGCTGTCAGTCTAGGTAAATGGGAACATGGTTATGATAACTGTGGGAGACAATGGCATGTCAGTGCATATGCATGCCAGAGCAAATAGAGGGCAGACATCTCCCAACTTTATAGTAAAGAATCATCTTATATCTCTATCCACATGTAAGGCCTACTGATTCATACTTGCCCAGGTAGCTCTGATACATCCAGTCCTCAGTAATCCCTCAGCCATAGCTGTAGTCCTAGCTCTCAACATGTCTTGCCTTGGGGGGGGCGCCTGGGTGGCTCAGTCGGTTGAGTGTCCGACTTCTGCTCAGGTCATGATCTCACGGTTCGTAGGTTTGAGCCCCGGGTCGGGCTCTGTGCTGACAGTAGGCTCAGAGCCTAGAGACTGTTTCAGATTCTGTGTATCAAACTCTCTCTGACCCTCCCCTGTTAACACTGTCTCTCTCTTTCTCTCTCAGAAATAAATAAAACATTAAAAATTTCTTAAAAACACATTTCTTGCCTTGGATTATCCTTATACCCTAGCTTGTCTCTCTGCCCCAGCTACTTCTTTTTTTGGAATCCAATGCACAAGGTGTCCAGATTAATTTTTCAAAAATCCTCATTGCACTACACCATTCCTTGCTGCAACTCTTTGCTAAATCCCCACTACTTTAAATATCTAAAATTTGAACTCCTCAGTCTTAAAAATCAAGGTTTTCTCATAAAGTGCTGAAAGGATCGAGGCTCATGTGGGCTCGGTTTGGGAAGTCAATTGGGCCATCACCCAGGGATACTTTTACCTCTTCTTCTTTAAAGTCAGAGGGAATCCCATTCCTGCACAATGGGAGCACCACAGGGGCAGACACTAAATGTGGAGCTGCTTAAGCCTGTCTGAGTTGTTGAAAAGTCGCTTTCAACTCTACCACCTCTTGTACCTAAGTAAGACTGTAGGTGCCCCCAGAGGTGGAGGCTTCAGAAGTTCTGATTCGCTGTGGGGTAAACCAATTGGTAGAGAGCAGCAGGAATAAGAACCATTCCCATATCTGTCCCACAGGGACACCATCATAGTCCTGGCACAACCTACTCTTAGAAGGAACTAAGGACAGGATTCACAGGCAAAGCCAGCAACCGCCTGTTACCAGCAGGCTGTGTCATTTCTAGGGAAAGAAGTCATGGAACAAAGAAGTGGTCATATGTGCCATGGTGGGCCCATAACTGCTCCTCACTAATGCTGAAAGAAGGAAGCAGTGTCCATTCCCCAGCAAGCCTCAGTAGCCCATTCACAACAAATCCCATCTAGCCAGGGCCAATAGGCAACAAGGTCTGGCTGGATAGCCTGTGATGCTTTGACTCTAATTCAATAAGAAAGTCAATCAAGCAGGCTTGGCCACCCAGATCAGTGATCTGGGCCAGTTCCTTCCTTAAACCTGTAGTGAGACTTTCCTAGATCTGTATCTGGAACTCAGCCTTTCAGCATCCTGGGTAAGCAGGTGGGATCTAATCACATAGTAGCCCAGTCATCCCCACCAGGCCAAGCCAGTAAGCCTTTGGCTGCACCCATTTGGGGACAGCTGTGGTCAAGAAACTCCATTTGCTTAGCACATGTTTATTGAGCATATATTATGCAGGTATTTGTACTGGGAATACCAAAGTGACATGACTCTGAATCAATGGCACTTACAGAATATAGAAAAGACAAATAATCACATAAACTAATATAAACTTGTAACTATGACAAGAGGTCAAGGAGAAAGACATAAATCTCTGAGATTCTAGAAGGGGGATTTCTCATGTAAGAAATTCTTGGGTTAAGACCTAAAAATTGAATAGGAATTAACTAGACAAAAAGGAAGGAAGAATGTTCTAAGCAGGAACAGCATTTGCAAATACCCTGTGGCTACTAAGACTAAAAGAAAGCCAGCATGCCTGGAGAGAAGAGGGAAAAGGAGAGACCAGTGTGAGGTGAGTCTGGGAGGTGATGAAGACACAGACCATGTAGGACAGTATAAACTGTTGAGGAATTTTGTCTTTATCCAGTAGGAAATGGGAAGCCATTTTTTTTTTTTTTTTTTTTGAAGTAGGCTCCATGCCCAATGTGGGGCTCCAACTCACAGCACTGAGATCAAGAGTCACATGTTCTACCAACGGAGCCAGTCAGGTACCCCAGGAAGTCATTTAATAATTGTAAGCAGAAGGATGTCACAGTCAGATGCATATTATGAAGAGATCACTTTGCATCGTAGAACATGTATTAGAAGACCACTTAGCAGGTAATTACAAGTCCGAGCAGGAAATGATGGTTGCTTCTCTTAGGCTGAGAGCGGTAGCGGCAGAGGTAAGTGAACAGAGTAGAGTGATATTTGAGAAATAAACTGACAGAATTCGGTGATGATCAGATGGGGGTGTAGGGAAGAGAGAAGGGAGAGCTCAGGAAGACTCCTAGGTTTCTGGGTTGCAGAACAGGATCGGTGAAGGTGTCAGCTACTGAGAAAGAGAAACCAAAGGAGAGCCACGTTTCTGGTCCTCTGATGAGGGTAGTGTGGTAAGCAGAGCAAGAGTTCGGTTTGGACACGATGAGGAGTAGGAGGTCATGTGGTAGCCAGCCTCTAAAACAACCCCCAGGGATCCCCGAGTCTCGGTATTCACATCCTTATATAATTATTTTCCCTTGTATGTGGCTGGATGTAGCGTTCTGGTTTGTTTTGTTTTAAGTAATCTCTGTGCCCAATATGAAGCTCAAACTTACGATCCTGAGACCAAGAGTCACGTGCTCCACCAACTAAGCCACCAGGTGCCCCGTACTTGGTGTTTTGCTTCTAATGAATAGAACAAAACAAAAGTGATGGGAATTTACTTCTGAGATTAGATTACAAAGAGACTGTGACTTCCATATTCCTCACCCCTCTCTATCCCACCCCCACTCTAACCCTCCCATCCCCCCACCCCCACCGAAATCCTTGTTCTGGGGAAGTAAGCTGCCATGCTGCAAGTAGCTCTGTGAAGAGGCCCTGTGGTAAGGAACTGATGTCTCCAAGCAACAGCCAGAATGGACCTGAGACCTATCAGCCACATGAGTGGGCTTCAAAGTGGGTCCTCCCCCATTTGAGTCCTGACATGACTACAGCCTGACCACAACCTTCATTGCAGCCTCCTGACTGAACCAAAAGATCTCATCATGCCACACTTGGATTGCCAGCCCACAGAAACTATGAGCTAATAAATGTTTATTTTTCCTTTATCAAGTAAATTCTACACCCAATGTGGGGCTTGAACTCACAACCTTGAGATCAGGAGTCACAAACTCTACCAACTGAGACAGCCTGGTGTACCTGTTTATGGTTTTAAGGGGGAAGTTTTGGGATACTTTGTGACATAGCAACAGATAATTAATACAGGTTTCCTTTATAAAGTCAAATATTTTATATAGAGGACATGCTAAAGTGGGGGCCTGGCTGGCTCAGATGGTGGCTTTGTGACTCTTGATCTTGGGGTGTAGCTTTGAGCACCACATTGGGTGTAGAGATTAGTTTAAAAAAATAAAATCTTAAAAAAAAAAGAAAACATGCTAAGTTAAAAATTAGATGTTATAGGTCAAAAGCTCAGAAAAGTCTGAAGTAAAAATATAAATTTGAGATTGATACCCACTTAGAAAATGTGAGGTAAAAGAGGAGAGATTTTTGAAAAGTCTTGAAAATCTCTATAATTGATCGGACAAGTAGAGCTGGATGAGGTTGCAAAGGAGATAGAGAAGGAACAGCTGGCGGGGTGGGAAAAAAGCCAGGAGACAGTTGAATCATGTAAGTCAGTAGAAGAGTGTTTCAAAGAAGTAAGGGAAGATCAAGAAAGAGAAAAACTGAAATACTGGTTTTAGTATAAGTGTAAGTCATAATTCTAGTAAAAGATGCTAGTTATGGGTGGACTAGAAGCCAGAACTGTGGGGCTAGAGGTTGGTAGATATAGAAATGAAGACAAAAAGTATAGACTTCTCTACAAATTTGACCTGTGATGGTGAGAAGAGAGATCAGGTAGAGGCTGGACGTAGACTATGACTGTGTTGTTGTTTTTATTATTTTTATTTTAGAGAAAGAGTGAAAACAGGGAGAGAGGCAAAAGGAAAGAGAGAGAGAGAAAGAGAGAGAGAGAGAGAGAGAGAGAGAGAGAATGAATCCCAAGCAGGCTCCATGCTTAGCACAGAGCCCAACGTGGGGCTCCATCCCACGACCCTGGGTTCATGACATGAGCCAAAATCAAGAGTTGAGTTGGACGCTCAACTGACTGAGCCACCCAGGAACCCCTGATTGTTTTGTTTTTCAATTCATATATAAATAAAATAGGAAAGATTCAGGACACCTGGGTAGCTCAGTTGGTTAAGGGTCCGACTCTTGATTTCAACTCAGGTCATGATCTCACGGTTCACAGGTTCGAGCCCCACATCATGCTCTACACTAACAGTGCAAAGGCTGCTTGGGATTCTCTCTCTGTCTCTGTCTCTCTGTCTCTCTCTGCCTCTCCCCCAGTCACACTCTCTCAAAATAAATAAATAAACTTAAAAAAATGAGAAAGATTAGGTGAGAGGAAAAGGTTGAATACACAAGAAAAAAAGAAGAAATGATGATAGTGTAAGGTTCCTAAAAGATAGGAGGATATTCTCCTTAGAGGGAAGGTGGGACAGCTCTGCTGTTAGACCCGGAGAAAACGATCCCAGGACAGGTACATGTTAAGAGAGTTCCTATGTGAACTCCTTTTCCTATTTCATTCCTATGAAAAAGCTCCTCTTTTTCTCCCTAATATGGCATAAGATCATCTGCTTAAAGAAGAAAAGAGGAAAGGGAGATTGGAAGATTGAGGAAAAGAGAAGGTTTCCATAGTCACTGTGGAAAAATGGGAAAGTGAGAAACAGAGAATTGTAGAAGATTTTTGTGTAGTATGAGAGG